TTCTTTTCATTTGGCAGAAGTATTACATATGTCAGAATAAAGCAAAACTGAAGGATCTATCGTTACATATCAGATATGAATAACATTTTGAAGATCTTACGATTTGACGTAGTCTTACTTCAATTATCTATAAGCCGTATTAAAATGCAGATTTCTATTGATAGATAATGTAGATTGAATGTACTTTTAAGTAAGCAACTCAAATCTTTGTAACCTCATGTCTAAATGACAAATGATATAATCCCGTCAAAATTGATAATAAATTATTAAAATGAATAGATATATTAAGAACCAATTCATAGATAGTGTGAAGAGTAAAATATGGGTAAGATTCCTTACAAGCATAATTGAAGGTCAACGTTTTTACGTTGTTAAACATGTTTGTATCTATATTATTTTTATCATTATGATTGAATTAAATTGTTAAGGTTCTATTGAAAGCATATATCGAGACTGGCAAATATTTTTCCAATAAATAGAAAGATGTTGAAAATGATGCCATGAATTCATCTTTATGGAAGGATAGTTGAAAAGTGAAGCAAAAAACAAAAACTTTCCAATGATAGTAATGATGAGCTTAATCAATGTTTGCCATACACTTCTTCCGTATTAGTCTTCATTATACAAGATCCTCAATCTCTGCAATGTTGTTAACCATATTAAACTGTACATATCAGTTACCTTTTGCTGTAGACACTAATGTAAATAATCTTCAATAGTACGATCGAGAATTTCTGTATAAAATCCATAGATATCAACGATTGAAGAATCAATAGACAATATCAGTATCAGTCAAATTTATTAAGAAAATTTTTCAACATAATAGAAACATAATTGAAGTGTTAATGTTAACTCATTTATTGATGTTTTATGTCAATAAATAATGATATTAAATACTTTTATTTATAATTTTTTTTAATTAATTTTTGTTATTGGAAAAGGAACAGCAATATAATTGGAACATATATGATGTTCTACAAAATTTTATTGGTTCGAATGATTTATTGTAATTAAAATGAGCTAATATCTATATAATATGCCCTTTTAAATAAATTTCACTTCTATTTTACCTCGTAATTCGTCAACATAACTAAATATGAATAAGACATTTATTTTTGTTGTAATATTACAAAGAACAACAGATTAGTAAGTCAATGTAATACAATCATTCGTCGATGACATACTTGATCAATATGTATCTTACTGTATCAGATCACTGTATTCTGTACGTGTTACGTATTACTCATGCTTACTGCATGCATTAACTAATCAACTTAAAAAACTCCGACTATAAAAAATGTTTTACAGCATTGATTAGTCACAACTTGTTAATGATGTATAGACTTGATACAAGGTTATATAAACATTATTAACATAATAAGTATTTTTCATTAGACTTTTTTTATAAAACACGTGTAGTTTTTCTTTGGTTTGATCGAATATAACTCGAAGGATATAAATTAGTATCTATGTGGATATTTCTTCAATAGGAAGTCGGTCATGATCCATTTAGCTGTGGATCAATAATCAATGTAGGATGAAGTTAAGATATAACGTAGTTATGATACAATAAACATGAAAAGTTTCGATTACAAAATTCAAAATCCTATATTCGTTTGATCATATTGCATATTCACAAGAAACATGATCGAATCTTTTATGACATCTATTATTTCTATTGAATAAAGTAACTGCCTAAAGATCAGCAAATGTAACACAATCTTCTAGTTGTTTATGTTTACTAAAACGCATGATATACTAAATGATTGTGAATAAGAAGAGGATTGGCAAGTAAAAGGAATTCGATTAAAGAGACAATTTTGAATGATACCTAAATATATATATATATATATATTTCTGTTGTTTGTAGCGTAGTGAATGAATCTACTTCTTCTTTTTCTTTAAAGCATAGAATTCATTTTATCTTTTCATTAATATGCATATATATATATATGATGACTTTCGTGATTCATTCATGAAAATTAGAATGAGAAAACTTCTTATGATAGAAATACAGAATATCTAAAATAAAAAATGATATTAATGCATTGAATTCATTTTGATATTAGTGAAAAATTCACACATTACTCAAGGATTTGATAAGTGCGTATATAAACATTACATTAATATCAGCGCATAGACTAAACATATAAACAATCAATCTCTTCAAACTTGTCAGCAAGTAATCAAGAAGAAAATTCTTCGATGAGTAAAGTAATATCTATGTTTTTTGAAGATAAATAAAAACATAAAAATTTATAAACTTGATCTAAGCTTTTGTTTTGTTCTAATCTAGTTGATCACATTTCTTTTTTTTCCATTTCTCGAAAATATTTATAGAAATATTCATGTATTAGTTGTTATTCTTCATCATCATTCTTATTTCTATTATAGTATTATCAAAATGCTGATAGCTAATGTCTGTGAATGCCATTGGAATGATAGTCATCAATGTAGATAGAGTACGATCTCATGCTGTTATCATCTGAATGCTATGTTTGACCAGGATCAAATATCTACTACTGCTTATTGTGATCACTAACACTAAATGTTCTAACATAATGGTCTTTATTAGTTTTGCAAAAATTACATCAATTTGATTGTTTCACTCAATAGCGACAAAAAAAATTCAAATTTGATGGAATAGCTGGTTAATAATTTCGTCTGTTAATTTATCCAACATATTATTCGTTCTTTCTATAATCTAGTATTTTTTTTATAGGAAAAGTTGATTTTTTTTTTCTGATTTCTAATATGTCCGATGGATTGTGTAGATAAATTAATTTGTGAGAGCTTCAAGCTGGATCTTTCAAACCGAGAAATGATCTAAACAAACTCACTCGATAGAGTTGGATCTGGCAAAACGTTTCTTCATTGGGTTTACTAATCAATTTTGAACTTATTAATCAGTAGTTTCGCTTGAACGATAGATTACCTATGGTGAACGTTTATTCAAACAACCATCGGTATATCGAACAGTCTATCAATCGTTTTTATCTGGTTTGAATCACACAACTAGAAATAAAAGAATGAAAATCATCTTGCCCCTTTTTCATAGTAGTAATTCGATTTGTTAAAAAAAATAATTACAATATAAAATTAATCATCAAGTGATGATTTTTCATTAGGCTATTATTCTATTCAATCAAATAATATAAAAAAGATCTCTATATCATTCGTTTACGATCGGTTATAAAATCTACATTGTTTTATTTATCAAAATTTATTTTTATTTTTGTGCTGCTAATTCACAAGGTGATAATCCCTGTTGTCGTGCCTTTTCTTCTTCTTCATGATGTGCTTTTTCATCATCTTCACACTCTCGAATTAATCGTGTATTATCAAAAAGCATATAAGGTTTGACGACTAAACCTAAAAAAACAAAAACAATAAAAATTAATAATAAATTCAAAGATTGATTTATACTAACGATAAGTATTTTCGTCAGTTTGTATTGTTTGTAATATTTCTCGACGAAGAAAACTATCTGTATCCTTTGCTGCACGAATTAACTAATAAAATTAAAAAAACAAAAATTTAATTTTAAAACAATAAGTCAAATTTAAATTTACTTCTTTTATTGTTTTTTCATCTGTTACATTTTTATAATGTGCAAAATTCTCTCGTATACCTTGTGTCATGCCTATACGAAAAAAAAAACAAACAAACATACGAAATAAAATTCTTCTTATGAACGAAACTCACTAGCTATTCGTGGTGGATCATTTTGAAAAACAACCTGTGCTGTATGAAGTAATTTTTTATAATGAGCTAATACTTGTGAACGAAGTGATGTTCCCATTTTTTAAATATTTTTCTATAGAACAAAAAAAAAGACAACAAAGTACTCTTCTC